AATATCAGAGTACATGGCAATCCATTGCAGAACTAAGATCGCCATATACATTCAAATATTTTCATATAATACCATAGATTCACTTACCTGATCATATGACAGGTTATGTTGAAAACAAAGTCCCTGAACTGAAAAATTATCATCTGAAACTGTTTTCCTTGGAATACAATGAATTGCCTATTATTTCCTTTGAGAGCCCAGCAATGCCCCACCATGAAAGCCTATCGGCCAGAAATGTTTAAATGGGGTAGTGGATGTTGGTGAAGCTTGGTCATTAAGGCGTGACCCAAAAATGATTTCATTTCTGAAACATTTTAATTTATTACACAAAACAACTTGTGCAGTATTCAGCAACATATATATATATATAAATCCAATCAGATTGTTCAGGTATTTTAACAGCCAGCGGGGCCAACAAGCAAAATACTGAAGCTTGGCCGGTAGGCGATTCCTCCATACACACAGTTTAGCATAGATGGGGGAATCTGTTGCACTATTTCCATCTGACCATAGAAAATCTATAGTGTATGGCCAGCTTGAGACCCCATTCACAAAGAGCTACATCAAAAAAAGCGCTTTTTCAATGCCGATTTGAACTGAACTACAGTACACAATGTTGCACTATGTAGCGCTTCTTTTGGCAGTCTATCAAAGCCTATTGGGGCCAAATCACACAAAATCCGCTGGGAAAATAGGTCATGTTCGAGCGACAAGCTTGAGCTACAGGCGACATTGAGCTGTGAACAGCTCCATTGAAGTGCATTGGCCGAGCTACATTGAGAGATTTTTGAGCAGAAATCGCTTAGTGTGAATGGGGTCTTGTATATCTTCAGAATGAGGATGTTTCCGTTGAGTGCTGAATTTGAGGGGTATTTGTAAGTGCAGCTGTTAAGAGTACGATTATGTTTATTCACTTTGGTTGATACATTCTTAGACCTACGGGTTTACAGTACAGCAGCTTTCAAATCAAACACCTTGTTACACCTTGGTTTATAGATCGTGGGTTGCCTCCTTGTGGGCTTTTAATTAACAACTCTCCCCCTAAGATAAGTGCATTTACAAAAAATAGTAATGGACCATCCAAGAGAGATTTGCTAAAAGTATATCGGATTTTATTTTGTGATTTGTATAAACTTAAAAATCAATGCATTTCATAGATCAATCAAAACCATGCATGGCATTTGTTTGTATAAATATAAACACTTATTTGGTACATACATATTGATAAGGTCAAAATATTCTAATATAACAATGTTGGTCACAGATTTAACAACAACATAAATGCCCTTATATTGGCTTAACTTAAGAGGACCCGACGTGTTTCGCCAGTGGCTTCATCAGGGGACCCCAAGTGGATCATGCAGGGTTGGTCTACAAGGTAAGGGAGATACCTGGAGAATCGAGAGAGCGGACGCTAGGTGGGTCACCTAGCCACCACGTTCTCCTTTATTGTCACACCTGGGAGGCATCACACCTGCATTCCTCCATAGTGATCTCCGCTCCCCAGCGGAGATCACTATGGAGGCATGCAGCTAGCCCTACACCACCAGGGAGACTCAATAGGACTGTAATAATATCCAGCCGGGCCTCCTCCTAACGTACCTCAATTTCTGAGAAAGCACCCCAGTGAAGCTGGCTGGACGAAGGGATGCCATCTCTCTTTATATAACCCTGAGGTCCCAGGTGTGACAAAGGAGAACATAGAGGTGGTGGTGGGGTCGCCTAGCGTCCGCTCTCTCGGTTCTCCTGGTATTTCCCTTACCTCGTAGACCAACCCTGCATAATCCACTTGGGGTCCCCTAATGCAGCCACTGGCGGAGCGCGTCGGTACCTCTTAAGTTAAGCCAATATAGGGGCATTTATGTGGCTGTTAAATCTGTGACCAACATTGTAATATTAGAATATTTTGACCGTATCAATATGTACCAAATAAGTGTTTATATTTATACCAACAAATCCCATGCAGGGTTTTGATTGATCTATGAAAGGCATCGATTTTTAAGTTTATACAAATCACAAAATAAAATCCGATATACTTTTAGCAAATCTCTTGGATGGCCCATTACACCCCTCCAGAAACCCTATTATTTTCTACTATTTTTTGTAAATGCACCTTGTTACACTTTAATAGGATTCATTATTGGTATTGAGGTGCAACTTTCACTTTATTTAATTTAATCACCTTACGGATAGATATTATACATTTATTGGTAATATGTTAACTTTTTAGTGCTGCTCATCCAGTTATACTATGTTTATTCACTGCCTTGCTGAATAAAAGTGCAGAACAAACCTGCTTGGACTGTTCCTGGGTGTTTGTCTTGCACATGGTTTGCTGCTACCACAACCAGTTGAGCCTGTTCCCTTTCAAAAATATAGATACATAGCAGGCGATGCATGCTTTTGAGCAGGGGTAGCAAACCTCCGGCCCTCCAGCTGTGGTGGAACTACAAATCCCATGAGGCATTGCAAGATTCTCACAGCCACGACTCCCGAAGAGAGATGCATCATGGGATTTGTAGTTTCACCACAGCTGGAGGGCCGGAGGTTTGCTACCCCTGCTTTTTATTAAACGGCAGACTAAGCTGTCTGGAAGCAAGATGTTGTGATGTGCGATTCCCTTAAGTGTAAAATTCAGCTTGAGCTGCTAAAGAAACAAGTGTTACAGCAAAGAAGCCCTGGTCCATGATGAATCCCCAGATATACTGGCCTGAGCTGAGTAGAGGAGTCCTGTTAAAAATTAGAGACAGTATGAACTGAGGAAACCTGCACTCATTGCCAACTGGAGGCACTTCTGGGATCTGTAACCCTTCCTCCTAAGGACACCAAGTGAAACTGCACATCTGTGAGGTAGGAATAGTTCTAGCCTCAACAGGGCTGGCTGGCCTTCAGTTTTCTGTGGGCCCATAGTGTCCATTTCTCCTGTAGGCGGCAGTATAACCTAGGTTGCCTTAGTAGTTGCCTGACCATAGTAAGGAAATGTATACAAGCACTAAAGGTTTTCTTAAAAGGGTAATAAGTGTTTCCTTTACATTTATTATGTCTGCAAAATAGCCATTAAGCTGCCATTTACAGAAACAGCAGCTCCAGTATCTACCAACAGGATTATTTTAGTACTGAGAAAAACGAAGTTTGAGCACAGGAAACATTCTGCCTGCTTGCTAAATTGTCACCTCAAGTTTGGGATATTCATAAACAAGTGACCTGAAGAAATGCTATTTGATCCTCTGTAGACTTATTTACCTTAGAGAGATAACATATGTTATCCTTGGCAGGTCTACTGCCAAACCTCCTATTCACAATTTGCATACAGTACATGAAATGCAATTTGCTTTTAGAATTCCTGGAAGTTTTTTTTTTAAATCACTGTAGATGGCGTACACAGATTTTATGTCGTCTTGGTTCTTTTGTGTGTCAGTCTTTTCTTTCAAACAGGCAAAAATGTAAAGGAAATTTGCTGAGAGAAATATATGGGCTGCCATTGCAGTTGCCTGGCTTTAGAACAATCATGCAGAATGTGCACCAGAGCACCTGATCTGCATAATAGACCTTGGTCAGTGAAACTATATTCAACAGAGGATTGGTACGCCCATCAGTAAACTAGTACTTTAAAAAGCAGATTGATGTTAGTTCCCGCATTTCACTCATGACAACTCTCCTTGGAACAGAACTGGGTTTTTAAAGTACTGTCTCTAAATCGATGAATAGCAGGATCCTACATGCAGTATATAGGAATCATAAAATCAACCTTTCCATACAGATAGGAGTACCCTAAACCAATATGATATTTTTAAGCATAAATCTTGAAAACAAACTACAGCTTCCAAGATTATTCCTTCTAGATTGGATTACTTTGGCTCCCTCTAGTGGCATTTAAAAAATGCAAAATAGAATTTAAAAAATCTTTATTTATAAAATATCAACAAAGAAACTTTACACAATTTTACAATAAAAAATACTTTACAACAGCAACATATTTCATACATAGGACAAATGTAATATACAAAAAAAAGACAAAAATTAAAGTTGTTACATAAGAAATGAATACAAGGAGAAAATGTTTGTACGAGTGTGTAGACCCTTCTGAGTATATACAGCTGACAATACTGTATACGATAGTGTCGTGGATATTATTAATATAATGGCAGCAGCCTGCTTAGGCTCTTTCAGACAACTACAATTCATATTTGCCACAACTCTTTTTGAGGTAGAGCTATATTTAAAAAAAACACAAAAAGTGCAGACTAGGACAGTCAAAATAAGATGTCTAACTTCCAGTGGGCTCCACTCTAGTTATGAATAGTGATATCATTTGTATTGAAATGGAAAAGGCTCCTGTGCTTAATGCCCGATTCCCACTAAAGGCAGGGAAGAGAAATATTTGTATTCATTGGCAACCGTGTTGTAAAATCTAACCAAGCTTATTAAATTAGCCAATGTAGCAAATGAAAACTGTTCACATTTTGCTGGTAACCATGTTATCTGCCTCATCTACATCCAACTATAGCTCCACAAGGCTAGGACATTTGCCATTCGGTACTGCAAACATTGTGAAATGGCCGATTCTCTCCCCGCCCTTCAATAAAATAAAGGGGATTCTTAATTGATCAGTAGCAGATTAACATGCTGAAAGTGTTTAAAAGGCAAAGTTATAAATTATTGCCGCGCAGGGGATTGTCAAGGAGAGGGTAAAACTCATTCGATTGAGCAATTGAAAACCATACTTGTAGTTGGGTCCTTGCACTTTAATTTCCTACTGAATCAGATTGCAAATGACAACTTTTTGTTCCAAGAGAAGCAAAACAAAAAATAAAATTAAATAGTTCTTCATGCTGCTCCCAAAACATACAAACACACACACACACACATACACAAGCATACCTTAAAACAAAAAATGCCCCTTTATAAATATACACAGAAACAACTGAAAACACAGTCATCTTTGCTTGGATGCAATGAAAATGACAAATGCAGAAAACATTAAGTTGCAATTCCTAAAGATATTATCCATAGGTTCCGCTGAGTTATCAAGGCGGTAAACGCAAAGTGCCAAAACTAGCTCTCTAAAAGAGGGAAGATACTGCGGCTTTTGGCAGAAGTAGAGCTGTTCGGTTTGAAACGTTTGGGCGAAGGAGTTGCAGCACTGATATTCTTTCTTACCTGCACAAAAAGACAAAAGGTATTAAAAAGAGCAGTGTTTAAGCACATATTGTACTTGATATTCTCTGGGATAAGAGATCATACAAAACAGTCTTTTAGCCCCCAGTGAGTAGCTTGTGAGCCACTTTTTGCACTCAGCTCCTTGTTTGAAATGAATCCTGTATTTATAGATCAGGTGAGATCATGAAGGCTGCCATCGGAGACCTCCTTAAAATGTATGCAGTCTTTTGGCCTCGGTACTTTGAGACACTGACCTGGGACAAGCAAGCAGAATGACAGAGTAAGGTCAGAACTTCTAACCAGAATATCTGTTCTGAGCCACTGGATCACCAGACCAGCCAAGGAACTAATATTTTTTTAAAAAGAGTGGTCAACAAATGCAGCTTCCATACTTGCTCACAGCAGGTGACAACTTATCCAGCAAAACATTTCTATGACTGACACAGCTTCCTGTAGCTCCCATTTGGAGACCAAGTACATAAACTGACCACCATAGCTCATTCTGTGCTGGCCGTGGTCAGGAAGCTAAAGGAAGACAAGGAGACTGGCAGGATCACCAGGCATTTGCTGCAGATTGTGGACATTAGTTCAATAAAACCAACATGGATTAAGATTATGAAGGACAGAGAAAGGCATTAAGGGGCACATTCATTATTAAGGTTTGCATACAATTTAGATCTCATTCACACTGGAAGTTGTTATACCTGTGTTTATATGTGTTTTGAGCACATTTCTAAACCTAAGAATGCATGTAATTGATTTTCAATGGTATCATTCAGACTTTGGCTTCATTCACACTTGCCAATTGCATTTTTATAAGAGCTGTCTGCAAAATCTGTCAGGCTAGATGCTTTGTTTATGCTTCTAGATGCCTTAAAACATTGCACATTTACATGCATATGCGTTTAGATGCAGCTATCCTTTATCCATTGAAGTAGCCAATGAGATTTCAGAAAATAGACGAGTCTTGCGTTTACATGACCTTTAGAAATTAAAATCAATTCCTGGATGCACCCGACTTCTATTTTTTCTAAACGCAGCTAAAAGCATTTAAATGTAAGGTTTATCCACTGGAAATCATTAGATACATATACATGCGTTTGGAAAACCATTTTAAACGCATATAAACGCATTTAATCACACCTAGTGTGACTGTAGCCTTACACTTTACTTGTGTTTACCTGAAATCAGCTGCATTTAGAGAAAATAGAATTATGTGCATTCACGATCTGATTACCAACAAAACGCCATTAAATGCGTGTAAACACACTTAAACACAGCTTTAAGCAGGTACATCTAAAAGCGGGAAAAAGTGATTTGGGAAGCATAAAAGTTAATACTTTTTAGATAACTTTCTCATTGAGACCTATAAACAATGTTTAAAGTGACATTAAAGTCAAAGATATTTTTCCCTCCCCAAATGCTAATTAACCCCTTCGTGACGGGAGACTACACTGTACGTTCCGGCACTTTGTGCCTATATGACTGGCCACGTACACTGTACGTGACGAGTTATATCAGGTTCTGTAATGCCGGTAACTGCTGATTCTCAGCGGTAACCAGTCATTAATGAATGCCTCAGTATTGAGGCATTCATTGATGAAATAGTTAAGCTTTTGTAAAAGCTTCTTTGTTTTCATTAATTAAAGAATGAAGCCGTTACATACAAATACGGAAGCGCTAAATAGCGCTCTGGTATTTGACAGCTGAAAATAGCAGAGAGGCAGCAGAGTGACTCACCTCTGCTATTTGTTTTGACAGCTCCATAGACTGGCAGATGTTTATGAAGCTATGCGATACATCTCAAGCAAAGAGATACAGTGTATCTCTTTGCTTGAAATGTATCATTTCTGATCGTCTAGGCATGATCAAAGAGCTTTAGTGAGATCTGAATCTGACACGCTGTCAGGATCAGTCTCTATGGTTATTATTGCAGCCTAATAGCCAAAAATTAAAAAAAAGTTAATTTATCAAGCAGTCATAGTGACTGCTTGATATAAACTGACAAGAAAAAAAAGTTTTGTTTTTTTTTACAAAGTATTAAAAAAATAAAGTGCAAAACAAAATTAGGAAAATAAAAATTATATATAAATATATTTTTATACTATAATTATTATAAAAAATAAGTGTTTTCTTCTAGTTTTTTTCCTCATTTTTTCTATTCGATTCAAACTAAGTGAGGGGTTAGGTACATATTTGATATAATCATATAGCCCTATCTGTCCTCTAAAAAACAATATATAATATGTGTGGGTACATTTAGTAAGAAAGTATATTACTGCTGTGGAAGAATCACACAGCAAAAATGTAAAAAGCGTGTCAGTCATTTATGAGCAGAAACTGAAAACTAGCTCAGTCATGAAGGGGTTAAAGCACTTACCTTAAATGATGTTTCATAATCTGAACTACTTCTTTCCTGTCGTTTTCATCTGTCCCTCCAGCGCTACTGCGGGTCTCCGATCCAGCGCCGACTCCTCTGTCCTTGCTGGCACTTCCTGTCCCACGGTGTCTGCATGCGGGTGCACGCGTCCAGACTTACCTTGTGCCTCTCCTCGTCTCCCGGCCGAAAATGTGAACTGTGCATGCGCCTGCCCTAAGATGCTTTGCGGCCGCCCGAGAATTTTCACATTTTCGGACCGGAGCGCGCGGGGAAGACACATGTAAGTTTGAACCGCTTTTAAAGCGTTTTTTTTATTTTTATTTTACACTTTTTGCATATATCTACTACTTGCTAGCAGTAGATATATGCAAAAACACACAAGGCTTTAATTATCCTTTAACATATAAAACAAAAAGGAGTTTTGAGCGCCATCTGTTGGCTGAATAAAAGACTACATAATATGAAAATGCAAAAGATCACATTTACCTAACAAAAGACGGTTTTAGTTTTTACGGTTTTAAAAACAATGTAAGAAAATGTGCACAAAGCCATATGTACATTTTTAAAGCTGCCACTACTCTCACTAAACTAAGCACTGATGTACTGTATATACGGGATGTGTATGTGTATCTCCATCAATCACATGAAGCAATAGCATGTTCTTACAAAGATAGTGTGGAAGAAGAACAGACAGAATTACAGAGAAATGCTCCTTGCATCATATTTATGCATACATTCTTCTAGTAAGAGCCCTCAATACCTTAGATTTGGGTTTATCTGAAGATGCATCTTGCTTCTGTGGAGAAACAGTCTGGAAAACAAACTTCCTCGAGTTCCTGGGTGCATTAGGATTCAGGTTTGACATTGCAGCTAGTTTCTGAAGGACCTCTTTTGGCATGTTTAACATAGAACCAGTCTTCATCTGAAAAAGTGAAAAGAAAATTAAATATAACCAAGTAACACTTTGGTCAGTAGTATCAGAATCAGGGTCCCATTTACAACTGCCTGTTACTGAACACACTAGAGCAGTACTCAGCAATAGGCAAAAAGACCAAATGGGTGTATTTAAATGTGATATTAAAGATAAAAGGTTTACGTCAGGGCTCAAAATTTCAGGTCCTGAGCTACTCGCCACCAGTTGCCCTGCCTGACCCCACTCTATTCTATTCTTCTTGTGCACAGATGTACCGAGTGTACCTGGGAACAAACGAATCATTCTCTTGCTGGCCCAATACCGGGCATAGCACAAAAACACACAGACGACACAACACGCACAGCACAACACGCAGGGCATACGCGCAGCACAACACGCAGGGCATCACATGCAGCACTACACGCAGCATTACACGCATGGCATATACGCAGCATTACACACAGCATACATGCAGGGCATACACGCAGGGCATACTACCGTGTTTCCCCGAAAATAAGACAGTGTCTTATTTATTTTTTTTGACTACTTTCGGGGAAACACGGTAGCAGCATTACACACAGGGCATACTAGCAGCATTACACGCATGGCATACTAGCAGCATTACACGCAGGGCATACTAGCAGCATTACACAAACACATTTGCTCATATCAATACATTTGTGTATAGATCCTGTGGCACAGTGGGGGTTAATTACTGCTCTAACTTCAGCAGAGTTTACTCACAGTTACAGCAGAAAGCTGAGGTTTCAGAGACAGGGCGGCCGGGTTGCCCAGGGAACACTGACGCGGACAGCTCTCTGGGAAAGAAAACTTGCACATGTGCAATGCAAGCAGCCAGGACGCTTCCCCTAGTCAGCTCCTGCGCTCTGAGGAGCTGCAGATCCGATCTATGGTTGGATGAGCAGCTGCCTCTGTCCATGACAGTGCCAGACTCAATAGCTTTATTTCCACTCGCCCCCACGCAATTTTCACTCGCAATTTGCGAGGGGGCGAGTGGAAATTTTGAGCCCTGGTTTACGCGATTCCAAATGCTGATTAAATCACTTAGTATGGATGCTGTTCCTTGATGTTTAAAAGTTTTGGCACTAGACTTGATATCCTCTTTTTAGAGTGGCTCATTTCCCTTGAAGGGTCCTATGGAGCCGCGCACGAGCGCATGTGTGTGTAAGCTGTGCATGTCTACACAAACACAACAAGGCAAGCCACTCCCCCCTACCTTTACCAAGCTAGAAGATGGACAGCTTCTGGAGACTGTCCATCTTGTGATCATGAACTCGACAGAAAGTTCCCGAGAAGCTGAGCTGAAAGAATTGGGCTGCAAGCACACCTGCGCATTTCCCGGTGCACAGCCAAGAAGTGTGCTGCATATAATGTGTTCATTATAGTTTATAGCATATAATTAATTCATTATATTTTCAATTAGCTGTAAGGGCACCAACAAATGTATCCACCTCTTCATATCCTGCCCAAGAAAGTTTGAGGTTTCTACAAGTTCAGAATAAAACTATGTACCACAAAATATCTACCACAAATCATACTTTCTGATAATCTCAGAGCAGAACTCACCTTGGGGAGACTAAATGGCTGGTTCACGCCAAATGGATTTTTACTGGTAGGCTCTTTTGTTTCTACAGTTGCTGTGAAAAGAAACATTATTTAAGCAAAACAGCTAAAACACATACATTAAATACTTATAGGGGAGCCATTTAATATGCTGAAGGATTTCTATTTGCCACTATCCTGACATCTATATAGCACAGAGGCAGAGTCCTGGTTTTGCTCTGCTGTTAGTTAAGTCATACAACTAGGTCTTGTTCTCCCCAAGCAGATAAATGAAAAGTGAAAGTGAAGCAACACTCTGATGAGCCCCATTCTCTTGTATCTCTTAAGTTTCCTCTTATAACTGTATTCCGGGTTACCACCTGAACACTGCACCACAATGGAATGGCTCCTAATGCTACTTCTCGTACTCCAGTTAGGTTTCAATTATTGAATGAATATGCAAGATTTCTATTACCAGATGAAAACTATTTTCAATGGATACCTATAGCTCTATATTGGCTTGTCTCATTGAGCGCTATTAACCACTTCCAACGAGTTCACGTAAATGTACGTCATCAGCTGGAAGTTGTTATACCAAGAACACGGCTGCAGCCGTGTTCTTGGTACAGTTTTAAACAACCGGCGATTGCCGTTTAAATACAAGCTATCCGGCGTCTGTACAGCTGCTGATCTCTCCTCCGATCACTAGACCCGGAAGTTATGTGCATTACATCACTTCCAATGTCACTGGACACATTCTAGAGCTCCTAGAGCCAGAAGAAGCTGGTGAAGCAGATCTCTGCTTCATCAGCTTCTTTGGGGTCCCTATGTGACATTCGGGGTCTGAAAGACCACTGATGTCTCCATAAAGAGGACCGGTCACATTATATTTGCTATTACATAGAGGGCTTGTTAGCCCCCTAAGCAATAGCATTAAAGCGGAGTGTTAAAAAAAAAACAATTGTAAAAATTAAAAATGCAAAAAAAATAATAATGTTAACGTGCCCTATCCCCCACGTGGACAAACATACAATGCAAACACATGTCGTATGCGCCTACGTGCAAAATGAAAATTGCGCCACGCGTTACATATAGTCGCAAACGTCGGTGTGATCCCAACTTTTATATTTTACCAAACAATTGGGTATTATATTCCGTTTCTGTGCACTAAATTTCATTTCAGTGTGTTTTATCCTAAAAATACTGGTTTATAAGCATTTGCGCAAATACCGTGCAACATAAAAAAATTGCAACTAGCATTTTTTTATTCTACAGGGCCTCTGCTTTCTGAAAATATATAATTGTTTGGGGATTTTAAGCTGTTTTCTAGCCCAAAATTCAGATTTCATCATGTGTGTGCAAATGTAGGAAAATGCTCTGGGCAGCAAGTGGTTAAAAGATAAAGTTCACCTTTGTATAAAAAAAAACCCACTATGCAGTAAAGGGGACCAAGTATTTAAAAAAATAATCAGTGGAGACAAATTAAGCTTACTTTAAATGATAATCCTCTAGCCAAAGTGTGGCTTCGATAAACTCTGACCAAAAAACTTCTGTTCAGTGGCATCTAATATGAACTTCTGTTCAGTGGCATCTAATCATGAAAATGCCAAGTATCGGCACTGGTACTCGAAAAGTATCTGTGCATTCCTAATCCATAGTATCCTGCACAAAATCAAGGACATGAGATCCGCTAATACTTGCCCCCAGCATCTAGGGAATGAGAGTTCCCTGTCTGTCTCACAACCATGCATGCTCAGTGTGCTCTACCTCCCGTGTCAGCAGTGGCTGCTGTGACAGTGGGACAGAGAGCGTAGAGCGCATGCGTGATTGTAAGACAGAGGTAGATCGTTCGAGACTGAGAAGTGGTCTGTTAGATGCTGGGGGCATGCCAAACGCATCTCCTGTCCTACAGTAGATGCTGTGAAAGACACAACAGATGTCAGTAAATAGAAGCATTTTGGCCTAGCTTCATGGTAGCCATGTTTGACCTACAGGATTATCATTTAAATTAAGCTCAATGTGTCTCCACTAAAGAATGTTTTCTTTTCTTTTTTTTTAATACTAGGGCCCCCTTATGCATAATAAATATATTAATGCAACAGTAAGCTTCCCCTTTAATTACTTATCATAAAGCTGTATCATTATGACTCAAAATATTTGTCTTGCATTAAACAAACATGCTTATTTCTGACTGGTAAGCATCCAAATGCACAATTAAGTTTATACCAAGGAAATTACATGAATTATTACAAAGTGTCTCACACCTTTTCTTTGTAGCGTTCTTTCGGTAACTTTTTTGGCAAGCTTCATGAACTGGCTTTCTGTTTCAATCTCCGCCTCCTCCTCTTCCTTGTTAAGACTGCCACTTTTAGACTACAGTAAAAATAAAAAGTTTAGTATGTCAATAAATAGGCCTAATGTAACGAGAAAACATTTGTTGCAAGTCCGTAATACTGCATGTCAATGTAATTGGTGTACTCTTATGCTGGCCGTCATACATGTGGCTTCCCATTAGCCATTAAAAAAATTCTTGAAGCTGGTTTGCTACCAAATGTCACAATGACTTCCAATTTTCAAGCACCCAAATGATAGACATAGCTCAAAACACTGCTAATCCAATTGCATTGCCAAATGAAAATAGCATTTTGGTTGCTCACTTCAGCATAATAGTGAAGGTATTTTCATCCTCAATACTCACAAAAAACACAATTTATTATAGAGGGAGTTTCATTTAGGTTAAGATGACTATACTGCAAACCAGGCTTTTTTAACCAGTGTTGTTAGCAGAAGCATGTAAATCAAATTTTGGGTACTGATCAAGCACAAGATATACATGTTATACCTGCTCACGTAGCCACTGCTCTCGTTCGAATCTCTCCTTTCTCCACTTAAGATCAGTGCCCTCCAGATCTTCATTATCGCCTTCCTGATCTTCCGGATCAGAGTCTCTGCGGAACATGTCGTACTGGGAGGCATCATCTGAGGATCGATACAAACACCATATACTTTAGATTTCAGTAGTCACAATATGGAAACTATAGCTTTTTCTTCAAAAAAAATAGAAAACATTTTTGCTTTATCAAAAAATTGTGAAAACCGCAATGCTATGGAGACCTAAAAGCTTAATTTATAAATACCTCAAACATCAAATGCCAATTTTCAATACATACCAATATTGTTCCACCTGAATTTCCTCATCCTGCCAGGACCGTCACTGTGAAGGTCCCCATCAGCCAAGTAGCGCTCCTGATATAGTCGGAGGCGGCGCTTGTCTTCATCCATGGTGACTTTCCTAATACGATAAAGCAAAGTCAGTGTTTTGTGATCCAGACTAAAAGTGTTTGTAAAGACGAACAACAAACGTCTCTTATCTGCTACCTTTTGGACTGTTAAATATACCATTAGAAGAAGTTTGTTACATCTATTTGATAAGGACCACAAAAAAAAACACTGTTTATCTTGTCAGAAATTCAGAGATGTCCTGTGCAGACTATTTAGCCCTCCTAGTATTGATCATGTACTACAGGACAATTAGCTTTTATGTTGTAGAAATCTGTGAGTGGCACTGATTGAGTAGTTTAGTAAAAGACACTGGGAGGGCCAACATCATTCACTCTATAAAAAAAAAGTGTGTTTTCAGCCCACAGCATGACTTAGGAGTGGACGGCATTTCTGAAAGAAATTTTTTTTCCCCTGTACTTGCAGGTTCTTTAAAAGGGATAAAACACAGGGAAAGAAGCATGTATTGCAGATGCAATGAATAGTTTTTTTGTTGTTTTATGCCTTGACACATGCTTTAAGGCTATGTTTGTAAAGAAAACTAGCAAATACTAACATATGGATCTTGTTGATTTGATCCTGTAGCTCCTCATCTGAAGGAAGCTCTTCATCAATGGCTTCTTCTTCATACTCGTCTTCATCTCCTTCATCCTCATCCTCACTTCCAATATCACTTCCAGAAAGTTCAGCTTCGTTTTCCATGAAGTCCTGTAGTTTTCTGCAATAAAAAAATAACAAGGGGTTTACAAAGTTTGTTCACATTCTGATTAACAGTAGTACACACAAGTATAATGACTACAAACTTTCATGACATAGCAAGAATGGGTGTTGTACATTTTGGAGCTCCCACAATTTACTCACAGCTTTCTCTTTTTGCTTTGTTTTCTAAGAATTGCCTCCTCTTCATCGTCATCCTCCAGACATTCTCCATTTTCCTCCCCCTCCTCATCATCCTCTGCTCCACTTTCAATTACTGCAAGCTAAATTTTTAATTGAATATGTAACTCAAACAAGTTAAGAATAGTTAGTTATTTAACAAGAAAGAAGAAACTTAGAGAGACTAAAAACAGTAGGGCTACTACCCATTCCTTGTATGATGACAGCACCACCGTTTACATGCTCACTGAACCAGTGGATGCCCAGAAAGTCAATGTATTCATAACAACCAGAAGCAAGGCTGAGAATAGCATATAAAGTCCTATACTGCCAGTAAAGGCAATAACATTCTTAAGCACGGCTTTTAGTTTAAAATGATAGTTTCTCTCTAACTGACAACACTGAAGGACTAGACACAAGCCATGGCTGCTTGCATTATTTCTCCAAAATCCCTTGTGAAAAAAAAAAGTTAACTGGCACTGCCCGATGGCTTGTTGCACTTTTTTGACATACCCAAAATCACACTAGTATTTCTTGTGGCAACTTTTTACTAACCTCTTCGCTGTCCGAATTATCATATGATAGAAGATGGAAATCCTCAAGCTCTGCCTCATTTTCTTCATTTTCTCTGTGCAAAAAGGGGTAAATCATTAAAAATTGAATACTGTATATTGGTAACTAGAGCAGTCTGCATTACAAACATGGTAAACCTTGAGATGAAATAGGATAGTCTCATATTTCAAAATATATACCTAATGGTCGACACACCTCCCCCCTAGCAGTAGCAAGAGCATGACACAGAGGTGGGACCCATGTCCCTCAATGTACTTCAAGAGGAACATAGGATTTCAGATGTCCAAATTCAGGACCAACTGAGGGCTGAGCGTTTACATGTAGTGGCTGTCACCCCGGTCATTAACTTGAATGGGTGACAGCGTTTGTAAATGCCACATGAGGGATTTCCGCTGGAGGAAACGCAAGTTCCTGATGCAGGAATCGCTAATCACACCTAAACTTACAGGTGTGACTGGGGCATTTGTGTGTGTATCACTGTATATATCACTGTGTTTTTCTGATTGTGGGGGTGTGTGCATTTCTGTGTGTGCATATTACTATGTGTGAGTGAATGTGTGAATCTATTGGTCCTTTATAATTAAAATAAAACCTGTGGGAAAAAACAGACACATACACTTCATACATACATTACATCATACATACATACATACTTCATTCCCACAGCTACCTCATGTATCATTTCCCCCTCCTCTTTTAGATTGTAAGCCCTCAGGGGCAGGGCCCTCCAACATACATTACCACTGGCAATCGTATATAGTTACATTTCATTTTGAAGTATAACATTTGGCAAGTGGCCCCCATGGGGGGGAAATCATCCAGTGGCCCACGAGTGGAGTTTGAGACCCTTGCTCTAGGACCAAAAGGACGAGACCACCATGACTAAGGAGGTTGCCTAAACCTGAATCAGCAACACACCATGGCCCACACGAGGTACCATGAGACACCCAGAAACAAAAAAAACTCAGGGGTACGATTTCATAAAGTCAATGGGACTGAAGGAATAGGATGCAAAGGAAGCACCGTGCAAGTGTAGGCAGAGGCAATCATTTCAAACTAGTGAGAGAGGAATCACCAAACAGTACTGAAGATGAAGATATACCTCCTCCATAGCACCAAAGAGTGCCTCAATACATCTGCAGAAGCATACTAACAAAAAAACACCCTGGCCTCAAGTTATAAGTCCAAGAAAGTTCCTAATGCCTCCCCAATACAGCGCAGTGTCAATTGTCATGGAGCAAGGAGCAGGAATCTTAGCAAAACCAAGAAGAGAGTTTAAATGCTTTTTTGTTCTGTACATAATCAGGCAAATAACCCTCCCCTTTATAGAATCTGGACTCGCCATGAAACACAGCACCTAACCCTGACTGGATAGGTCTCACAAAGTCAACAAGACATACTCCATCCCCAGCAGAGAATTACTGCAGTGGTGAACTAATGTGTTCCATTTGATAACAATCCAGGGAGGCACAGGGCCATCAGCGATGATCTCTCTGCCATGCAGAATCAGAGGTGCACCCAAAGTGTGTGAAACTCTGCTCTCAGTCCAGAGACTACTGAATGAGAAGAACCAGATCCCAAGGCAATATCCTTAAGGAAAACAGTACGAGCGAGGTTGAAGCTTAGTATTGTCCAGCACAGGGAACAGACTACCTTATCCACCACAGATAGGACTCCTATTCCTTCTCAGTTACATTAAAGTGTGACAACGTGCAAAACAATGAAAAAAATCAGAAAGGGGACCAACACTTTTTCACATACACACACATACATATATATATATCATATCATCCCCCTCCCAAAAAATAAACCGTATATTAACATAAAATCTTTTGAACTTAAGATACACTGCATAAAGCAGTGTATCTACCACAAAGATAAGGATTGCGGTATCCAAGAGATTTAGGATCCATGAACTTTGTCCTTGTACACTGCTAACTCCATACACAAAGTATGCCATTTAGAAGACAATACTGTAATGACATTCAGTATTTACCCGTTGGTGAAAGAACCTGAACAGAGGGCAACTGCTTCAGACATGAGGTCATTTTTCTCATTTTCCGAATCAGCCTTTGTACAACGGAAAGGTTCTTCATTTGAACCATCATCTAGGCAGAAAAGGGACACTGTTAAATTGTGAACTCTCAAGTGACAGTCTTCAAACAATTTAATGTTCCACATTTATGTTAAGTAAATATGTCATCAATACAGCTATATTAGTACCATAATATCCAAGTTGCCCAGGAACACAAGAAAAACGAAACCCTCAGGTGGTCTTGTAAATGAACGTGATATTAAAGTCGAAAGGTTTTAAAGCTATTTCAAATGCTGATGAAATCACTTACAATGGATGTTGCTTCTTGATGGTTAAAAGTTTTACAGGGTTATTCACGAAGGATCCAGCTGTAGCTTCGGCTGATCCTTTGGTTCAGTTTAACCAAAGGGCTGCTGTACGGGCTATTCACAATAGCCCAAACAGCAGCCGAAGGTGGCCGAGCGGCTCAGCCGAGCCGAAAAGCATATGCTCCGGCTCAACTAAGCCGAAGCGGGGTGAGCGGCCTGCTGAAGGGCGGACGTAAGCCACGCAAATGACAGCTGTGGTCTCCCAAAATGACCTGGGGACGCTGATCTGTCATTAAACAATAACAACTGGGCGAAGACTCTAGCAGGTGCTGGCCAAAAGGAAACAGTTGGGCTAGGAAACACTGCTAGCTCCGCCCAATTGTTTTTTTTTTTCCTTTTGGCAAGGTGGTGAAGGGGGGGTTGCAGGCATAGTGGAACAACGCACTGTTGTCAGTCAGTGGGGGAGTAACTTCTCGCTGTCCTTCTAATGGAGATAGCTGCCCATCTATGACAACTGTAAAAGCATATTCTAAATACACTGGTAGGAAATAAACAATTTAAAACATAATATAAAAACTGGAATGTCCTCCAAGTCAACAGAACAAATGTATTTGTTGATGCATTTTGCAATAAATTACAGGCCTCCACAGTTAATACCATTTTGATAGGATAAAGCAGAACAAATGCCTCAAGTATGTAAGTAGTATTTATGAACTACTTTCTTTCTGTTATACTTTAGAGGGCTGAAGTCAGTGACAAAGGTTTAAGGATAGCCATACAGCTGCAGATTTCTCCATACGGCTCCTATTTTGTTTTCATTTGAAGTTTGGTGGTGCCAACAGGGCCACCCACGGCTTGACATTTCGACGATTTCTGCTAAATCAGACAAAATTCAAGCAGTGCATGGCCAGCTTAAATATAAGAAGCACTTTCAAACATCATTAAACCAGAAATACCTTGAGAGACAAATTTGCCAGAGCAGAGACCCAGCAACTCATCCATATCTTCTTTCTTCGCACCGTTTGCATCAGGCTGGCAGGTGTTGGATTGTGAATCCTTAAACTTTCCTGTGCAGAGATCTAACAATTCTCCCATGTTAGCATCCATAGCATTCTCATCCATGGTGTCCATCACAAGTCTTTGCTTGGCAGAGCTGTACTTGCGATTGTGGCCAACATTTAGAAAGCTAAGGAGGAAAAAAAAAAATGTTAAATCATAGCTATAAAAACCTAGAGTTTAGGATCTTTGTAATCCCCGTATAATCCTTTTCTTGGAATCTATTAAGGGACACAGGAAGTCTTGTGTCGGGTTGTACAGCTGCTTACAGGAGGACTGGACACTGGCAAACAAAAAAATTGTACATCAGCCCAGGATAACCTCTCCTTCCCCCAGCATGCTTCAGTTTTGTGACAAAGCAGCACAAAAACACAGGGGTGGAATCTGTGTCTTGTCCCTCAGATGAATGCTCTCCATCTCGAACCTGCAAAGCAGACGAGGAAGGAGTTTCAGTGGAAGAAAGGTGTAGATCAGGATCCCACAGAGCATCCACTGTTTCTGTGAGGATCCCTTTACCTGCAGAAAAAACTGTCTGGAAGCTAGAAGGTCCACATCCAGCATCCCATATGTCCTGGAACACCTCCAGGAGTGGGACCACTCCCCTGGGTCTAGGCGCTTCCTGGGATGAAAATGGCAGACAAGGCTGCAACATGAAGCACTGCCAAGGGCAGGATCTGCTCTACTTCTCTTGCCACAGCAAGTCTTCTGGTTCCTCCCTGATGGTTGATGTAGGCCAATAACAAGGCACTATCTGACTGAACCTGGATTAGATGACACACCAGCCAGGAAGTGCAGCGTTGCAGGGACAGTCAAATCACCAAAGTAACAGAATGCTGATCGGGAAACAAGATTTGAGTCCAAGTTCCCTGCACTGACAAATCCAGGACTACCCAGACCTTCAAGCTGGTATCCAGTGTGAGGATCTTCCAGTAGACTGGAAGGATACTTGAGCCACTGAGCAGGGACCACCAATTCCAGGCAAATCAGTATGTCCAAGGTTGGACTGACCTTTTCCACATTGACAGGATGTTGTGTTGTAAGGGTCAAGGGTGGAACTGCTCAAATGAGACTGCCTCAAAAGGAGACTTCCATCACCCCGCAGGATTTGTATGCAGAAGCGAAGAATCAGGCGACTCCCTGACTGAAGAGTCCGAGTTTGGGAGAAAAGAACCTGTGGCTTGAACTGTGTCTAGGACCGGATCCAGATATTGCAAGTGATAAGTCTGTTCCAGTGCCGATTCCCGGAGGATAAGGATCCAGACGCACTTCTGCAAGGTCTGGCTAGTCCAGGATACATTGTCTGCCAGAGCCTGTACCGTCTGCTCTCTCAGCAGGAGGCGGTCTAGATATACCACAAAAGGAATACCCCAAAAGCGCAGTAAGGCTAGCACAGAGGTCATACCTTGGTGAACACCCGAGGTGCCGTAGATAACCGTTTATTCCGTCATGCAACGCTGTACTGAACTGAATTTTATACCATTTTTTAGGGACAGATAGAGCTTTCTTTTGGTGGTATTTAATCACCACTGGGATTTTTATTTTTTACTATATTAAAAGGAAAAAATTACCGAAAAACCCCCCCCTAAAAAACTGTTTCCCAGGGGACCCACAGCAAAGCATAGGAATTCACATAGGTCACAAAGT